TTTTTTTCTCTTTTTTAGGGGTTTTCCACGTAAAAAAACTTGGTGTCTCTAGTGAATGACGCACCCTCTCTCTTATTTGATTGCGTGTCAAATTTTCGTACAATGCTAAGATGTTAAACTTTATATTTCTCCACCGCCACGAATACTCCCGGATGCAACAAGTATAAATATATTTATTTACTTTTTAATCATATATTTTAAATTAATTGATAAAAAATGAGAAGATTATACCAACTAAAAAAAAAATAACTATATTATTTTTCGGGTCAATTTTGGGTTGTTGGGACAACCCAAATCCGACCCATTTATTAAAAGGATCAATCCGAATCCAAAATTTTCATGTCAGATCTTGCTCATTTATTGGCATCCTGATAAAAAAATGTCTAGAATTTATGAGAAGACTTATTTGTTGCCAATGAATGATGAAATTTTATAAGAAGGTGCTCAAAGTTCTTAAAATAAATATTTAGAATAAAAATGTCAAGCCTAACTTTTTTTTTTACAGTAACTTCTTAGAAAAATATTTACCATTACATAATATTGGTTTGATTTAATTTATTGATTTGATAAATTTTTTTATCATTTTTAATTTGTTGATTTCTTATGTAGTTGCAAGTTAGAGATTTCTTATATAAAAAGGCATGAAGTCCACTTATATTTTGAGTAAAAATAATGAATAAGAATACGTCATTAGTTTCTTTTGCTTCATAATTTGTCCATCCCTTTTGTCTTTAGATGTGTTAAGCTCTTGCCATGAGTTGACCTTGCATGTTTTCTCCGGCAATCATTTTTTAATTAGAAAAAAAAATATTGTATTCCGACAAAATTTTAATAATTAGAGGACATTTTAATCAATTAATTTTTATAATGCACCCTTCTTAAAATAATTTAAATAATTTAAAAAGCAAAAAATAAAAACAATAAATTGCTCCAAACAAAATCAAAGTTATTAAATTTTGGCGTCATTTGGGACAACTTTCTTAATGCTTTCAAAAATAGTTTTCAGTTAATTTTTTTCTTAAATTATAAATTTTTTTGTACTAAAAAGCTGTTCTAGAAATCAATGAGTAAGTTGTCCCAAACAAAGCCTTTATTTGAGTGATCAATGATAATTTTAAAGCAACTTTCACCTCCATAAGAGTATTCAAACTGTTTTATAATGTTACATTTTTTGGAAATAATTTGTTTGAGTAATAATTTTGTTTAAAAATAATTAGTGGGATAAATGTTTGACAATATTGTTATTGTATTGTTATATATAATAATAATAATTGATACATCACCTAAAATCGTCTTGACCAAACACGAATCTCGAGGCAAAATTGAATTGTATGGTTACAAAACTAAAAAAAGGGACCATCCGAACTTCGATTTTAGCAAACTTATAATAAAATAATTCGTCTAAAAAATATGAACTCAACGTCACCAAATTCGACACAATCCAAGCTCAAATGGGTCCAGATCAAAGACTTGAAGCGTTTTTTGAAGGTTCAAACTACAAATTGGATTACCAAACAGCTTCCAAACGTGACATGCTTATAATTGAATCGAGCGGCTCGATGAGAAGAATCCAACGAGCCCAAGATCATCAAATTCTGATATCATTAAGACAGTCAAATATCCATTGAACGATGCATGATCAAGATCGGTCGTCCATTCGAACAACTCCAAATTTACCCTTGATCTTTCATTTATTTACAAGTCATGCCACTCAAGAATTATATAAATAGAACATCATTTCCTCATGAAAAGGATGAAGAAGCCAAGAGAGAAGAAGGAAGAGAAGGAAGAAAGCTCCAGCCTCCTAGCTCCTCCTCGACCACCACCGGAGTACTGCCGCACCACCGTCCGACTACCAAGGGACGCCGGAGTGCTGCCACTGTAATATAAAAAATCTGCTCCAGGATCGTCCAGGACGATCTAGATCGTCCTGGGACGATCAGTGGAAAGTTTGCTCCAGATTTTGCCCAGTTTTGCTCTAGGTCACCACCGACGGACCACCAAGGGACGCCGAAGTGCCATCCGAAGCTGAAGTACCCCCTGACACTGAAGTGCCGTTGTTGATCCACTGCTTGACACCGAAGTGTTGCCGGACCATCACTTGACAGCGGAGTGAAGTTGAACTTTTGCAAAACTTTCAGTTGATATAATTTGGTCGTCTTCAAGAACGAGTCAGACCATTGTACTTTCCTCAAATTTTAGTGGAGTCATTTTCAACTGGGCTAGGCCCCGTGGTTTTTTCCCTTTTCGGGTTTTCCATGTAAAAAATATTGTGTTCTCTATGTGTGAGCTAGATATCCGTGCAACGCTAAGACGTAGAATTATAACTCTATCGCCGCGTATATTTTAGCCTGCAACAATAATAATAATAAAATTTTATATTGCTTTGTTATTGACAGCAACATCAAAAGCATTGACAAAATGTTACACCCATATCTATAGTAGTTGATTATTTGTTTATGATATTATTTTTACTATTATATATGTTGTAGTATATGCTATGTGCAAAGTAAAGTTGGAGTAATTCTCACAAAGATTGTATTTTTTTTTTCTTTTGAGATTATGTTTGTCATGAGTACAAAATTTTAAAAGTGTTGTATATAAGATATTCCGAGTATCATCAGAATGACTAGAACAATACTCAACATTATAATACCTAAAAGTTTTTATAAAAAAATAAAGAGAATATGATTATTGTTGCAGATTAGAACATTCGTGGTGATAGAGAGATAAAGAGCTCAACGACTTAGATTTGAATGAAGATCCATCACAAATACATATAAATAGAGAGGGGTGTAGTATTCATAAGATACATATGGATTTTTACATGAAAAGATTTGAAATGAAGGAAAAATCACGAGGTCTGACCCAATTAAAATAATTTCACTTGTGTTTATAGCCGATTATAGAGTATATTCTATGGTGCGAGTTATTCTCATGAGAGCGTTAGCCTGTTTATTTGGTTGGCAGGACTATATTTTATGTGATAGTGGTCGGAGGGACCTCAATTGGCAGGTGACAGAGGTTAGGAGGACCGTATTCTGCAGGCGACGATGGTCAGAGGGACCATGGTCATCGGAAGACTGAGGTCAGAGGGACCATCGTTGGCGGAATACAGAGGTAAGAGTCATGTGTTGATGGCAGCCAGACAGAGGTCCGGTAATGGTCGGTCGTGGGTAGAGGTTCATCGATTATCAGCAGCCGGGTGGAAGTCCGACGGTGGTCGAACGATGGTCGGGCGGAAGTCATTAGACCAATAGTGTCATTGAGTTCGTCTCTTCGAGACACTCAATTTGACTATAAGTTTGCTAAAATTGAAGTTCAGATGTTCCCAAATTTAATTTTAAAAGTTGTTAACTTGAATATGCCTCAAGATACATACTCGATCAAGACAATTTTGTGTGACTTATCAATTATTATTATTATTATTAGTATTTTTGTTATTTGGTCTTTGTGTTTAAAGTTATTATAAGTTATTATCAAGTACAAAGTAAGGGAGAATATTGTTAATTCTTTCCTGAGTTATATTTTAAATTTGTAATTTTCATAAAAGTTTTCTCGACATCATACGGGATTAGTTGCGTATGGTAATGACATTAGTAGCATTTCACTCATTTGCTACTAGAAAATAATATCTTGCTTGTCTTCTTGAGAAATATTTGGGAACATGAATTCACATGATTTTTAATGTCTCTATAAGTGTGTTGCTCCTCTTGTGTTATCTTAAGAGTTTTTATAATTATTGCGATCTATCTCATGTACTTAGTTTATTTGCTACAATTACAATTTCCTATTTGATTTCATTAAAATGGATAGGGGTGCAAATGAGCCAAGCCCACTCGTGAGCCGGCTTGAACTAGACTCGTTAACGAGCTCGCGAGTCGAGCTTATTGAATACCGAGCCCGAGTTCGAACAAAATTTCGAGCTTGGCTCATTATCGAGCTCGAGTTCAACATTGAGTTTGTCTGACTCGAGTGCTCAATGAGCAGCTCGAGTAACAGTAAGTGCAAAATGCTGAATTGCGGAAGTTCGAAATTGAAGGAACTGCGGAACCGCATAAGCGAACCACGTGGGCTATGGAAAATTATTACATGCGGCGTCCGGATTCGTCCAGAGGCCAATCCGAACGTGTCATGTCACCCGGGGTCCAATGCAACTGGGTGACGTGGCACATCCGAATTCGTCTCCAAACGATTCAGACATCGTCTTCAAACGTGCACTTATGGGCTGTTTTGTAGAATCTAGGATTCATTTAAGTATGATTTCATAAATCTTTCAAATCCGGATTTACGAAATCCTGAGGGGGTTAAATCCTGAAAATTGTTTGGTAACATTCATGATAAATCCAATTAAATATTATGTGAATGTTTGACTATTCAATTCAGGATTTAAGGCTGTTAAAAGTGTTGACATACATTATTAGAACAATTAAAGTACGACAAGAGAAGTTTAAATAAAATATAACAAAACTTT